TCGGTAAAGTCACGTAGAAGGGGAAATAATAAATAATACAAATATTATACCGAAAGAACCAAGAATATGAATCCATGCAGTCACGAAAGCTTTCAATCAAAACAATATCCTACTTTAAAAAGTTATTGTATTTACTGTAACGTACTCACTCCAATCGAGAAGACTCTGCATGGGGGTGATAGACACACATGCAGTATTTTCATTGTTTAACTTGTATGCAATCTTCATTTGAAGCTTTCGTGACGGCAGGAATCCATACTCTTTGGTTCTTTCGGTAAAGTCACGTGGGTAGAAAAATAATCGATCACGACGTTTCGATCGCAACACAAGCAATCGTTCTCAGGTGGGACAACCACAGCAAGACAAACTGCTGAAGTAGGTGAGGTTATAATAACTGTGTTTTATACCCTTCTATCTGGCAACAAAACTGACACCTATTTTACAAGGAGTCATGTTTGCATAGACCACAATACCTGCAGCCATAATGCAAACAAAAACATAACTCTGATAATATATGCACTGTCCTTTAAGTTGATTGGTCCACACCCGAGACAGCTTTCCTTAGAGCCTAGTCTCACATGGGTTGGACCAGAGCCTAGTCTCACATGGGTTGGACCAGATCTGGTCCAACCCATATGAGACTAGGCTCTAAGGAAAGCTGTCTCGGGTGTGGACCAATCAACTTCAAGGACAGTGCACATACATTATCAGAGTTATGTTTTTTATTTGCATTATGGCTGCAGGTATTGTGGTCTATGCAAACATGACTCCTTGTAAAAAAGGTGTCAGTTTTGTTACCAGATAGAAGGGTAAAAAACCAATTATCAATGGTGCAGGTGAGGGGGGGGGGGCAGGGCAGATTGGAGAGTGATGCAGAGAGAGAGAAAGACACACAAAGAGTCGGAAATAACAGGTGACATAGGCAGGTAGGATGGAAACATCACAGCCAGTTAGGTAAAGTCTTAACTGACTGTGATATTTCCATCCTACCTGCCTATGTCACCTGTTATTTCCGACTCTCTGTGTGTCTTTCTCTCTCTCTCTCTGTGCATCTCTCTCTGATCTGCCCCCCCCCCCTTCTCTCTCCCCCCTACTGCCAAGGCCTACTATATACTACACTACACTACACACTACTACACTACACTATACACTACACACTACTATACACTACACTATACACTACTATACTACACTATACACTACACTATAGACTACACACTACTATACACTACACTATACACTACACTATACACTACTACACTACACTATATAACCCCGTGCCACGGCAGATCTCTCGTCTACTTCAGCAGTTGTTTCTTGCTGTGGTTGTCCCACCTGACGACGATTGCTCGTGTTGTGATCGAAACGTCGTGATCTGTTATTGTTCTAACTTGTATGTAGTGTATAATGTCCTGCATATAATACGTTACACTGAAATCAAGCAAAGCTCCTATTTCGTCACGTACACGGTGCCGATCTCTGGCCTGGTACAGCCTTTGGAGCGGTTTTGCCGGATCGGTCCGTGACCACCGGATAATGTTGGAAGCCAGATAATGTTGGAAGCCGGATAATCACACACCAATGGTCAACTGAGTGAGCGAGTGGGCGTCAGCCCACGTAGCCCCCCCTCCCTCCCTCCCTCAGCAGGTGCAGGGCAGCAACAACAACAACAACAACCACGAGTACCGCCCACGGCACACACCGACGCACTTCAAGCCGGAGACGACGCGCGCCGGCCGTCAAGTCGGGACCAGCGGCAGGCTGCCGGAAGCCTCGGGGGGGAGTTGGCACCGCTGGAGACTGCGTCGATTCGCTCGTCCACGGAATGGCATGTGCATGGAGTATGACGGCGAATGAGACTGTCGTGAAGCTAAGACAAGGGCCACCTCCTCTTCTTTCGTGGGATCGACGGCTCCGACCCCCTGTCATGTGCAGAATCAAATTCAACACGAACCAAAACCTACCCTAGACTAACCCTTAACCTTAGACTTAACCCTAACCTAACCTTCAATTTAACGCAACCTTAAATTTAACCTAACCCCAAACTAAACTCTCAATTAAACCTTCCCCATAACTAACCCTAACCTTAAATATAACCGAACCCTACCCCAAACTAAACACTACATTAAACCCAACCCAACTGTAACCCGAACCTAACCTTAGCCTAACCCATCACCTGTTTTCCACGAGGCTGCTGCTGCTGCTGCAATGGATGCTGCTGCTGCTGCAATGGATGCTGCTGCTGCTGCAATGGATGCTGCTGCTGCTGCAATGGATGCTGCTGCTGCTGCAATAAATGCTGCTGCTGCAATGGATGCTGCTGCTGCTGCAATGGATGCTGCTGCTGCTGCAATGGATGCTGCTGCTGCTGCAATGGATGCTGCTGCTGCTGCTGCAATGGATGCTGCTGCTGCAATGGATGCTGCTGCTGCAATGGATGGTGCTGCTGCTGCAATGGATGCTGCTGCAATGGATGCTGCTGCAATGGATGCTGCTGCTGCTGCTGCAATGGATGCTGCTGCTGCTGCTGCTGCAATGGATGCTGCTGGTTTGGCCAAATTCCAATTCACACAGCGTGGGACGGAGGGCGGAGGAGTGTCCCAGCAGGGTGGGGGGTGGGGGGTGGGGGGTGGGGGGTGGGGTGTGGCCAGTGACCCACACAGATTTCAGAACCCATCGGCGCCTCGGCCGTCCCCTGGCCAATTCGTGCCAAGAGCCGTCGAGCAGCCGGTCAAGCCCCTGATCCCCGTGCGCCGGCCCTCCTGGCACCCACCTGCGGGGCTCGAGAAGACGTTGTCGTCGCTGCCGCCGGCGGCGCCGCCGGCGGTGGCGGTAAACGAGAAGGCGGCGCTCCCTCTCGGGGAGGACCAGCCCCGCTCCGTCTCCGAGCGCGGCCGCTTGGCCAACTGCGGCGCCGCCCACGGCACCGCGGCGTCGCCGCCCTCCTCCTCCTCCTCTTCCACCGGGGAAGAGAGGCAGCGGCCGGCTCGCCTCTTCCTGCTGGAGCCCAGGCCGAAGCCGGCGCCGCCGGAGCCGCCCCACCGGGAGCCCAGGCCGTATCCGGCACCGCCGCTCCACCGGGCTCCCCACGTCGCCTCCCTCGGCGGGGAGCTGTCGGGCAGCGCAAACACGCCGTCCGCCTCCGCCGCGCCGAGCCCGCCGTCCCACGGCGCCGGCTTGAGTCCGGGGGCCGCGGGAGAAGCGCCGCCGCCCGCCCGCTTCTTGCGAGGCCACCGCCGGATGGCTGGACTCTGCGCGGGCGACGCGGCGCTCGCGGCGCTGCCGGCGCTCTGCGGGGGCGTGGAGGACGACGCGGGCGGCGTGAGCGCGTGGCAGATGCGAGTCTGCACGCGGCGCGGGCTCGGGGAGGCCGAGGCTCGGCGCACGCGGCACGACGGCGGCGTACGTTGATCCCCGGCCTCCGCCAGCCGCCGGTGCGACGAGTGCCGGCCGCAGCGGTGGTGAGATGTGGCGGCGGCGGTGTCGTCGTCGACCGGTGCCCGCGGTCGGTCCCGGCCGTCCTCGTTCAATTCCCACGAGCCGGCGCGCTTCAGCCGCGGCTCGAGCGGCCCCGAGCCCCGCGGCAGCAGCGCCGGCGGCGACGGTTCCTCCTCGCACTGGCGTCGAGCGTCCTGCCGGGGGGGCACGAGCGGCAGGCGAACAACGCGAGTTACACGACCGCAATTGCCCGCGGCCAATCGACATTCAACGGCTTCCCCAACCCCAAATCTGCCGTGTCGACTCGCGACCCTGCGATGCAGCAATGCACAGGGCCGGCACCGGCGTACGGGAATCCATTTCGCTAATCCGTCTCCGCGGGGAGGACGTGCTCTTAGGCACGTTCCTTTCCTTAGATCGGCGTGCAATAACTTCCAAGCAGACACATTCGTCGATGTCACTGCCTACCTAAAAAAGAATCGTTTACAGTAGTCCCTCTGTTAACAGTGACATCGGTTAATGGTTTTTGTTGTTAATGTTTTGCCTCCCATAGGACTCCCCGTGGTTTCGACTGGTTAAAAAAATGTATTTACGTGACTTTACCGAAAGACCAAAAGAATGTGAATTCCTGCAGTCATGAAAGCTTTAAGTCAAGACGAAATAATAGTTTAGTAAAGCAGTAAACCCGGGGACGAGCGCGTCTCTACCTTAGTGGCGCTTGGGTGCCAGGCGCCAGCGGCCACCGCCGCCGCCGGCGAGGACTGCAAGGCCTCGGCGCGCCGCTGCCTCCGGTCCACCGTGAGCCGCAGGGAGTAGCTGCCGCCGCCGCCGGGGGGGGTAAGAAGCGGCGACGGCCGCGGCGGCTCCAGCAAGGTCTCCGCCGGCGCCCCGCCGGCGCCCGTCGGCTTTCGGCGCAGGCGCACGCCCACGCCCTCTCGCTTGCCGCGCGGCGACGCCAACTCCCACTCGGGTGACGCGAGGCTCCCGGCACCGGCGGGCGACGAGGAAAGCGTCATCTCGTTCAACGCGTCCTCCTCCTCATCCTCCTCATCCTCCACATCCTCCTCCTCGCTCCATCTCCCCCCTCTCGCAGCGTTTCTGGAAGCGAAACCATCCGGCTCCTGTCCACGTTCTCCCGCACCCCTTTCTGCCGCCCCTCGGTCGGCCGAGCCACTCCTCCTGCCGTCTCCACGCGCCGTCTCCACGCGGCTTCCAGCGCCGGCGCCCCCTCCGCTCGGGCACCTCCCGGGAGACCTCCCGGGAGACATCCCGAGAGACCTCCTGGGAGACCTCCTGGGAGACCTCCTGATCTCCGGTGCTGGCGCCCGTGACGCCGTCCCAACTCCGTGCTCCGGCACGCGTGGAGGCGTCGGCGGCGATTCCCGTGAGCCCCTCGCGAGCGTCTTGCCGGCGGCGGCGGCGGCGTCGCCTCCGAGCGGCGCTGGCGGTCGTTCCTTTGGCGTCTTCGGCGCGGGCCTCTCGTCGCGCCCCTCTCCGACTCCGCCGGGGAACTCTGGCGGAAGCGCCAGCTGCCTCTTGGCCGGGGTCATCAGGGGCGAGCGCAGCAGGTCCGAGCACTCGCTGCGCGTTCGCGGCAAGCACCGAGCCGGCGCCCGCCTCCCGCCGCCGCCGGGAGACTGGCGTGGACGCGTCCAGGGGACGACGCCACGCTCCATCGACACGGCGCGAGGGGCACGAGGGGTGCGTGGGGTACATGGGGTACGAGGGGTGCGAGGGGTGAGAGGGGTACGAGGGGTACGAGGGGTGCGTGGGGTACGAGGGGTGCGAGGGGTCCTCGCCACGTGCCCCACACCGGGGGTCTCGGGGGTTCCAGGAACGCGACCGCTGCGAGGAGTCTGGGGCGTGGGGGTCAGGCGGCGGGGCAATCTTGTAGAGGACACGGGGGTCCCGGGGGTCCCGGGGGTGCCGGGGGTGCAGGGGAAGCCTCGCGAGAACCGGGGGCTGCGGCAGGGGGGCGGCGTGCCGGGCGGGGAGGGTGCCGGGCCGCCGTCGTCGTCGGCGCGCCCCGGCGCCCGCGACGGCGTGCGGGGGCTGCGTGACCGCGGCGGCGGCTCCGTCGTCGTCGTCGTCGAGCTCGATTCGAACCGCACTTTGGAGGGAGTGCGGCGCGAGCGCCGGCTCCTGGCGGCGCTGGCGCGCGGGGGGCCGGAGGGGCCGGCGGACGGCCGCGGCCCGGTTGTGGTGGCGGCGGCGCTGGCGCTCGACGGGGCGAAGAGGCGGCGCGACAGCTTCGAGGGGCTGCGCACGCGGCCCAGGAGGGCGCCGTCCTGCGGAGAGCGCCGGCCATGCGGCACGAGCGAACCGGGGGGAGGGGGGGGGTACAGAAGCGGCGTTCTGGTGAGTGCGCTGCTTAATCACGTCACTGTGGCGCCGTTAATCAGCACCACGCCCGGCCACCTTTGTCTCTCCAATGCCGGTGTGGGTTGGCTACATACGGTACGAAATAAATTCAACATACGTAAACATGTATACACCGCACCGGGTCCTCATTTAAAGCAGAGTCAACCTAGAGGAGGCCCATGGTTGGCTCAATGGTGTTGGTTGGGAGCGAGAATGGAACTCAGGTCGCCAGGCTCAGAGCTCCTTCCTCCCGCACCTCCGATTAGCACGGTTGGCGACATACGGTGTGAAAGAAGTTCAACGCACACACACGTATCATCACGTCACTATGGAGCCGTTTAAAATACGAATGTTCATGGGCCCAATAGCAGATATTGGGACCAAATAAAGTAGCCAAACATTGGTCCAACCAATGTTTTGACATGACGGGTGAATTATTTGATAGCTATATTCTTAGGTTTTTTCGGTAAAGTCACGTATTTGATAGCTCCACTCATTTCAAATGGGTATCAAACACTTCACTTATCGTCGGTCACACGAAGAAACCGCGACCGCAATGAGCGACGCCACCGCAGGTGTTAGCGACGAGCGGGGCACCTGCCCTGGGCTCCAAGGCATTGCGACGCGGCTGAAGCTCACGGCCGTGCGTCCCCCCTCTGGCCCATCGCGCCGGACCCCCCCGCCCCCACCCCCACCCGCCCCCCAAACCCCCCCCCACCCCGCCCCCGCGGCCTCACCCGCTGGAAGGCCCCGCCGGCGAGATGCCGGGACGGCCGTGGGTCGGAGGCGATGGCGTCGGGGCTCTGCTGGGTCGCCGCAAACAGCAGCTTGCGTGGAGACGGAGCTGCGGAGGAGGAGGCGGCGGCCTTACGCGGCGACATGGAGCGTTCTGAAAATCACAGGCGGCACACTGAGACGCGGCACTCTGAGACGCGGCACACGCAGACGCAGCAGACGTGGCACTCTGAGATGCGGCAATCTGAGACCCACACACACACACAGTGCAACCGGTATTGGACAAAACATCCCCATGCTGAAAAATGTCCTGCAAATTACTCAATTGAACTCACACGCAACAGCAGCAGCAAACCTGGCAAAAAACCCTCGTCAAAAAGTCTTGATTGGTGAATAAACGAGCAGAATGATGATAATAACAATCTCAAGATGCTGATGGCCGTTTGGCAACCGTAGTTTTTGTCATTTTTAGTCGCCAAGAGGAATTCGTGGCAGCACAGCGGTGGCGCTTTTTGCGAAGGCGCCTCATCCAGCAGCGGATTAACCACGGCTGACAATGACGCCGACGGGCAGTTGCCGTAACCCCCGACCCCCACCCACCTCTGCCGGCCTGGCTGCCCTGCGTGGCGGCGGCGGCCTCCTGCGTTGAGACGGAGGCGGCGGCGCGAGAGAGCGGCTGAGAGGCGGCGTAGAAGGAGGAGCGGCGCGAGTGGAGCCGCGGGCTGCGGCGCACGTCCTGGGTGCCCGCGGCTGCAGAGCACACCCAGTGTCGTCGTCATCGTCAACGCCATCGTCATCAGCAACACCATCATCATCACCATCATTGTCAACGCCATCGTCATCAGCAACACCATCGTCATCGTCAACGCCATCGTCATCAGCAACACCATCATCATCACCATCATCGTCAATGCCATCACCAGCGAACAAGATCGTCATCACAATCATCATCGTCAATACCATCGTCATCAGCAACACCATCATCATCACGATCATCGTCGTCAACATCATCATCGCCGTCAATGCCATCACCAGCAACAAGATTGTCATCACAATCATCATCGTCAATACCATCGTCATCAACAACACCATCATCATCACGATCATCGTCAACGCCATCACCAGCAACAAGATCGTCATCACAATCATCATCGTCAATACCATCGTCATCAGCAACACCATCATCATCACGATCATCGTCAACGCCATCACCAGCAACAAGATTGTCATCACAATCATCATCGTCAATACCATCGTCATCAGCAACACCATCATCATCACGATCATCGTCAACGCCATCACCAGCAACAAGATTGTCATCACAATCATCATCGTCAATACCATCGTCATCAGCAACACCATCATCATCACGATCATCGTCAACGCCATCACCAGCAACAAGATCGTCATCACGATCATCATCGTCAATACCATCGTCATCAGCAACACCATCATCAACACCATCATCGCAGTCAATGCCATCACCAGCAACAAGATCGTCACAATGATCATCATCGTCAACGCCATCGTCAATGCTATCGTCACCAGCAACACCATCGTCATCACGATCATCGTTGTCGTCAACACCATCGTCACCAGCAACACCATCGTCATCACTATTATCATCAACACCATCATCATCGTCGTTGTTGACATCAATATTCATCGTAAACACCTTTTACTCCACCAACACCACCATCAACATCAACACCACCACCACATCATGACAACACTGTGACAACATTGCATCATGACGTATCAATCACCACCGCCACATAAACCATCACCCCCACCACATTAACCATCACCACATTAACCATCACCGCCACCACAATAACCATCACCACATTAACCACCACCACAAAATTAACCATCACCACAATAACCATCACCATCACCACATTAACCATCACCACCACCGCCACATTAACCATCATCACCCCCATCACATTAACCATCACCACATTAACCATCAACGCCACCACAATAACCATCACCACCACATTAACCATCACCACAATAACCATCACCACCACCACATTAACCACCACCACCAAATTAACCATCACCACAATAACCATCACCACCACCACATTAACCATCATCACCACCACCACATTAACCATCACCACCACCACTACCCCATTAACCATCAACGCCACCACAATAACCATCACCACCACATTAACCATCACCACAATAACCATCACCACCACCACATTAACCACCACCACCAAATTAACCATCACCACAATAACCATCACCACCACCACATTAACCATCATCACCACCACCACATTAACCATCACCACCACCACTACCACATTAACCATCACCACCACTACCACATTAACCATTACCACCACCACCACATTAACCATCACCACCACATTAACCATCACCACCACCCCACATTAACCATCACCACCACATTAACCATCACCATCACCACCACCACCACATTAACCATCTCTACATCAACCACCGCCGCCGCCGCCAGCAGCAGCAGCAGCGGCATGGCCCCCGTGCGCACCTCGGTGGAGAGGCTTGCACGGAGACTCCTGCACCACGGTGACGCTGGCGCCGTCGCACGCACCATGCTCCCTACGCACACGCAAAGACAAAGATCCCCGTATAGCCTTTACACACTGTTGGGGCAAGTGCTGTTAGCGAGCACCTATGAAGCCCGGAACGGCACACGAGGGGGTTGGTGGTCAGCCCCACGCCCGGCCGCCTTTGTCTCCCCAGTGGCGATGTTTACACACCGCACCAGGTACTCATTTGAGGCTGAGTCGACCTCGGAGAGGTCCAGGACCGGTTCAGATAATCGTCACTGGTGTTGGCCATGAGCAGGAATGGAATTCGGGGTTTAAACTAAACTGTTTTAACACGTAGGCTTTCGCGACCAATATCATCCATAATAGGTTTTTTTTTTTGGGTTAGATCGCGTAATTTGTCTGGCTGTCGCCTGATGAAGCTAGTTGTAATTACTGGAGAAACGTCGTACTCAAGATTGTAAATGTTGTGGCTTGGATCTCCAACACACCGGTTAGTGCTGTACTAGTGACGAATTGGCACGTTTACGTGACAACCCTTACTAGTTGGCTGTGTCGGGTGGTGGAGGCGGGGGGTTTAACAACACATTTATATAATTATACGCGATCTAACCCCCAAAAGAACCCTCTATTAAACTGTTTTATTTGACCACGTAAGGCCCCACTGAGCTATGTAGCTTCTTCAGAAGCAACCTGGCTATCACAAGTGACAGCTCAACGATTGGGCTTATCACGTTGAAATGTATAACAGCCAGATACCGGATTACCCGAAGATAGTTCCACGCGACCACATGGAGAGCATGCCAACTCCAAATATACAGCAGGCTTCAGGGTTGGGATCGAACCCACCGCCTCCTGCATACCAGGCGAGGTAGTTAACATCCCACCGCCGAGGGTCATCGGGTTCATAGTACGTTGCGCTCACCAACGCACGGACACGCGCCGCCCTGGCCGTCTAACACGACGCACGTGCTCGTCTCTGCACGCGTGAGTCCGATGGTCACCTGACATCTGTTCCATGTTTGACCGTAGCGCGGTTTGAGTAGTGGCACCACGATCGGTCAAGGGGTAATTTTACTCGTGCCGACTCGGGCTGCGGAGACTGTATTGGTTTGTGTTGTGCGCGATGTTTTTTAGTCGTCTCATGCGACGCAGTTGCTTTGTTTTGATTGCTATTTGCTTCATTGCCATAACTTCATCTCGTTTTTTTCCTTTTGTCGTTTTTGAGACTCATCCTGGTCTCTGAAGATCTCACCTGTCAGTCTCGAGGCGGGCCTGTGAGTGTCTACGCGAGACTGTGGGTCTCAGAGCCTGTGAGTGTCTACGCGAGACTGTGGGTCTCTACGTGAGTCTGTGGGTCTCTACGCGAGACTGTGGGTCTCAGAGCCTGTGAGTGTCTACGCGAGACTGTGGGTCTCAGAGCCTGTGAGTGTCTACGCGAGACTGTGGGTCTCTACGTGAGTCTGTGGGTCTCTACGCGAGACTGTGGGTCTCAGAGCCTGTGAGTGTCTACGCGAGACTGTGGGTCTCAGAGCCTGTGAGTGTCTACGCGAGACTGTGGGTCTCAGAGTCTGTGAGTGTCTACGCGAGTCTGTCAGTCTCGAGGCGGTGGGTGTCTACGCGAGACTGTGGGTCTCAGAGCCTGTGAGTGTCTACGCGAGACTGTGAGTGTCTACGCGAGACTGTGGGTCTCTACGTGAGTCTGTGGGTCTCAGAGACTGTGGGTCTCAGAGCCTGTGAGTGTCTACGCGAGACTGTGGGTCTCAGAGCCTGTGAGTCTCTACGCGAGACTGTGGGTCTCAGAGCCTGTGAGTGTCTACGCGAGACTGTGGGTCTCAGAGTCTGTGAGTGTCTACGCGAGACTGTGGGTCTCAGAGTCTGTGAGTGTCTACGCGAGACTGTGGGTCTCAGAGCCTGTGAGTGTCTACGCGAGACTGTGGGTCTCAAAGCTTGTGAGTGTCTACGCGAGACTGTGGGTCTCAGAGCTTGTGAGTGTCTACGCGAGACTGTGAGTCTCAGAGCCTGTGAGTGTCTACGCGAGTCTGTGGGTCTCAGAGCCTGTGAGTGTCTACGCGAGTCTGTGGGTCTCAGAGCCTGTGAGTGTCTACGCGAGACTGTGGGTCTCAGAGCCTGTGAGTGTCTACGCGAGACTGTGGGTCTCAGAGCCTGTGAGTGTCTACGCGAGACTGTGGGTCTCAGAGCCTGTGAGTGTCTACGCGAGACTGTGGGTCTCAGAGCCTGTGAGTGTCTACGCGAGACTGTGGGTCTCAGAGCCTGTGAGTGTCTACGCGAGACTGTGGGTCTCAGAGCCTGTGGGTCTCTACGCGAGACTGTGGGTCTCAGAGCCTGTGGGTCTCAGAGTCTGTGGGTCTCTACGCAAGTCTGTGGGTCTCCGAGTCTGTGGGTCTTTACGCGAGTCTCTACGCGAGACTGTGGGTGTCTACGCGAGTCTGTGGGTGTCTACGTGAGTCTGTGGGTCTCTACGTGAGTCTGTGGGTGTCTACGTGAGTCTGTGGGTCTCTACGTGAGTCTGTGGGTCTCTACGCGAGTCTGTGTGTCAGTCTGCGGGTCTATACGTGAGTCTGTGTGTCTCTACGCGAGTCTGTGGGTCTCTACGTGAGTCTGTGGGTCTCTACGTGAGTCTGTGGGTCTCTACCTGAGTCTGTGGATCTCTATGCGAGTCTGTGGGTGTCTACGGGAGTCTGTGGGTCTCTACGTGAGTCTGTGGATCTCTACGCGAGTCTGTGGGTCTCTACGGGAGTCTGTGGGTCTCTACGTGAGTCTGTGGATCTCTACGCGAGTCTGTGGGTCTCTACGGGAGTCTGTGGTCTGTATGCGAGACTGTGGGTCTGTATGCGAGACTGTGGGTCTATACATGAGTCTGTGGGTCTCTACGCGAGTCTGTGGGTCTCTACGCGAGTCTGTGGGTCTCTACGCGAGTCTGTGGGTCTCTACGGGAGTCTGTGGGTCTGTATGCGAGACTGTGGGTCTCTACGTGAGTCTGTGGGTCTCTACGTGAGTCTGTGGGTCTCTATGTGAATCTCTACGTGAGTCTGTGTGTGAGTCTGTGGGCCTCTACGTGAGTCTGCGGGTCTCTATGTGAGTCTGTGGATCTCTACGCGAGTCTGTGGGTCTCTACGCGAGTCTGTGGGTCTCTCCGTGAGTCTGTGGGTCTGTACGTGAGTCTGTGGATCTCTACGCGAGTCTGTGGGTCTCTACGGGAGTCTGTGGGTCTCAGAGCCTGTGAGTGTCTACGCGAGTCTGTGGGTCTCTACGGGAGTCTGTGGGTCTCTACGTGAGTCTGTGGATCTCTACGCGAGTCTGTGGGTCTCTACGGGAGTCTGTGGGTCTGTATGCGAGACTGTGGGTCTATACGTGAGTCTGTGGGTCTCTACGCGAGTCTGTGGGTCTCTACGCGAGTCTGTGGGTCTCTACGCGAGTCTGTGGGTCTCTACGCGAGTCTGTGGGTCTCTACGGGAGTCTGTGGGTCTGTATGCGAGACTGTGGGTCTCTACGTGAGTCTGTGGGTCTCTATGTGAATCTCTACGTGAGTCTGTGTGTGAGTCTGTGGGCCTCTACGTGAGTCTGCGGGTCTCTATGTGAGTCTGTGGGTCTCTACGCGAGTCTGTGGGTCTCTACGCGAGTCTGTGGGTCTCTCCGTGAGTCTGTGGGTCTGTACGTGAGTCTGTGGATCTCTACGCGAGTCTGTGGGTCTCTACGGGAGTCTGTGGGTCTCTACGGGAGTCTGTGGGTCTCTACGTGAGTCTGTGGATCTCTACACGAGTCTGTGGGTCTCTACGGGAGTCTGTGGGTCTCTACGCGAGTCTGTGGGTCTCTACGGGAGTCTGTGGGTCTCTACGGGAGTCTGTGGGTCTGTATGCGAGACTGTGGGTCTATACGTGAGTCTGTGGGTCTCTACGCGAGTCTGTGGGTCTCTACGCGAGTCTGTGGGTCTCTACGCGAGTCTGTGGGTCTCTACGGGAGTCTGTGGGTCTGTATGCGAGACTGTGGGTCTCTACGTGAGTCTGTGAGTCTCTACGTTAGTCTGTGGGTCTCTATGTGAATCTCTACGCGAGTCTGTGTGCGAGTCTGTGGGCCTCTACGTGAGTCTGCGGGTCTCTACGTGAGTCTGTGGGTCTCTACGTGAGTCTGTGGGTCTCTACGTGAGTCTGTGGGTCTCTCCGTGAGTCTGTGGGTCTCTCCATGAGTCTGTGGGTCTCATCGTGAGTCTGTGGGTCTCTCCGTGAGTCTGTGGGTCTCTCCGTGAGTCTGTGGGTCTCTCCGTGAGTCTCTCCGTGAGTCTGTGGGTCTCTGTGAGGCTGATGGAGCCCCGGTGGGTGATGCAGGGCACCTACCTGCCCTTGACCTGCGCCTTGAGCAGCCGCTGGGAGCACTGCTTGTGCGACGGCGTCTCCGCCACCTGCCGCGTCAGCAGCTTCACAGCGCCTGCAGAGACAAAGATCCCCCTGTAGCCTGAACAGGGTGTTGGGGCAAGTGCTATAAAACTTTAAAACTAGTTTAACTTTACCAGGTAAGGCCCACTGAGTAGCTATGTAGCTCTTTGTCAGAAGTGACCCGGCCGTCACTCCACGAAGTGGCTTTCCACGTGGAAATGTATAGCAGCCAAATACTCGAAACGCGTGATGTTGATTATTAATGTGGAGGGCAAAAGCGGAGGACCTGGAGAAAAATCCACTCAATCACGGGGAGAGAGACATGCAGACTCCAAATATACAGCGTCAGGGTCGGGATCGAACCCACGACCTCCAGTCTACCGAAACGCCCCTTGCTTACCTTTCCTACACTTTGCACTCCGATCGTTTTTTTATTTTTGTTGCAACTTTCTGACCTGCCCTTATTGTGAGAAAGAGCTTCATAGTCAATCGGATTCAGTCCCGTCTACATAAAGATTCTGATTCTGATTACGAGGGGTGGGTGGCCAGCGCCACGCCCGGCCGCCTTTGGCAACCCAGTGGCGATGTTTTACACACAGCACCAGGTACTCAATTGAGGCCGAGTCGACCTAGGTCAGGCCCAGGAGCAGTTCAAATAATCGTCACCAGTGTCGGCCGTGAGCGGGAATCGAACTCGAGTCGCAGGGTTTGTAGCACAGCGCGCTAACCGCTACACGACGGCTCCCCCCACACACAGGGTAGCACACACACACGCCCGCCCGCACGTATGCACGCATGCACGCATGCACGCATGCACACATGCACGTATGCACGCATGCACGCATGCACGCATGCACGTATGCACGCATGCACGCATGCACGCATGCACGCATGCACGCATGCACGCAGGGACGCATGCACGCAGGGACGTGTAATTTGTTGCAGAGGTTCGTGGTTCTAATCTGGCAGGCCGCCCTGGTTATGACCGGGGGTATAACCACAACACTGGATTCCAGGCCACGTGCGTAGTCACCACCGCCGAGACACGGCGGTCACCGCCGTGTCTCGGAATGCGCGAGAGCGGTTTAGCGTTGTTTTTATTTAGAGGCGTAGTTGCGCCCCGTTGTTTTTAAAGACGTTGTTATTCATCGCAGAAAACCGCAGCGACACAACCGCCACTCTACGATACTCAGCGCTGTGCCACACGCCCTCCAGCATGACCTTGTGGGAGCCGTTACGATGACGCACACGTGTACATCGGAACGGAATCGGAAGAAGAAGTGATGATGTACACCACGTACACCATCGCTACGGGAGAGGGTTGAGCTCTCATCCCAACCTTTTCCCATGTTCCTGGGCTCTCCACCTCCCTCCACCTATCCCACGACCCCCTCAACTCACGCTTCTCAAACCCAACTTTAAGGAGCATAACGATTTGGGCTGCGGTTCTCTTCTTTCGAACTCTGCTGTCCGGTCAGGTTCAATCGCCCGCCCCGCTCAAACAAGTTTAAATGTTAACGCACAATTGGGGTAGGCGTCACCGTCGACGAGTACGTTACCTCTCGAGGAGCCGGGGCGTCCGTGCTGCTGCTGGGAGCGCGGCCGCTTGCGCCCCGGCGAGCCGAGCTCCTGGCTGAACAGACTCCTCCGCACCTTGGTGGTGACGTCTGGCGAGAGAGCGAGTGAGACGCGGTCACGTCAGCCTCGCCGTGGTGGGGGGGGGGGGGGGGGGAGCGGGGGTGGACAGCCGCACGGCAAACCACCCGCACCGCAAACCACCCGCACCGCAAACCACCCGCACCGGCGGCTCCGCCGAGCGTCACGATGAGGTGAACTGGGAATTAGTGAACGGGGGATTAGTGAACGGGGGATTAGTGAATGAGGGATTAGTGAACGGGTGATGAGTTTACCAGGTATTAGTGAAAAGGGTGTTATAGTTAATAGGGGATTAGTTAATGAGGGGTTAGTTAAAAGGGGGCTAGTTCACGGGGGGATGAGTTCACGGGGGGATGAGTTCACGGGGGGATGAGTGAGTTCATGGGGGGGTGAGTGAGTTCACGGGGGGATGAGTTCACGAGGGGATGAGTGAGTTCACGGTGGGATGAGTTCACGGGGGGATGAGTTCACGGGGGGATGAGTTCACGGGGGATGAGTTAACGACGGCAGAGAGAGCGACTGATGAGGGCGGCTCTTCACCTTCGGACGTCTCGGCCTTCGCTGCGTCCGGAGCGGTGGGGACCGGGGCGGATGAGGCGGACGAGCCACTCCGGAGCGATCTCTCCTGCTCGCAAAGACGGGGACATCGCTCAGCACTCCGTCATCACCACAGTCACCACCAGCGGACCGTCATCACCAGCGTACCGTCACCACCAGCGTACCGTCATCACCAGCGTACCGTCATCACCAGTGTCATCACCAGGATTGTCGTCGTCATCAACATTGTTGTCAAAAGCCCTGTCATCATCATCGTAATCATCATCACTACCATCATCATCCACATTGTCAACACCATCATCACAGTGCAACACAAATACAGGCGGTGCCTGTTTTAACAACATTAGAATGCACGTGTGTGTATTGAACTTCTTTCGCACAGTACGTAGCCAACCGTGCGAGGTGATGATTGCGAGCTAGGTGATGATGGTGGGATGGGTAATGGTGGTGATGGTGAGTAGGATAATGGTAATGATGGTGAGTAGGGTGATAGTAATGATGGTGAGTAGGGTGATGATGGTGGTGATGGTGAGTAGGGCAGTGATGGTGAGGAGGGTGATGATGGTGATGATGGTGATGATGGTGAGTAAGGTGATGATGGTGAGGAGGGTGATGATGGTGGTGAGTATGGTGATGATGATGAGTAGGGCGATGAGGGTGATGGTGGTGATGGTGAGGAGGGTGATGATGGTGGTGATGGTGAGTAGGGTGGTGATGGTGATGATGGTGGTGATGGTGATGATGGTGGTGATGGTGATGATGATGGTGAGTAGGGCGGTGATGGTGAGGAGGGTGATGATGGTGGTGATGATGGTGGTGAGGGTGAGGAGGGTGATGATGGTGAGGAGGGTGGTGATGATGGTGAGGAGGGTGATGATGGTGGTAATGATGGTGGTGAGGGTGAGGAGGGTGATGATGGTGAGGAGGGTGGTGATGATGGTGAGGAGGGTGGTAATGATGGTGAGGAGGGTGAGTAGGGCGATGAGGGTGATGATTGTGGTGATGGTGATGATGGTGATGATGGTGGTGATGGTGATGATGATGGTGAGTAGGGCGGTGATGGTGAGGAGGGTGATGATGGTGGTGATGATGGTGGTGAGGGTGAGGAGGGTGATGATGGTGAGGAGGGTGGTGATGATGGTGGTGAGGGTGAGTTGTGCAAGCGGGCGGTGCTCACCTTCCTCACCGCACGGCTCGGCACCTCGATCTGGCGCCGGCTCTGCACCGCCTCGCACACGCTGGGGTGCCGCACCAGCGCCCGGCTGCGGCCAAACCCACAGGAGGACACAGTCGGCAAAGAGAGACAAAGATCCCCCTCGCAGCCCCAACACACCGCGGGGTCAAGTGCCGTTAGCTAGCGGGCATAACATAGGGGTGGGCGGCCAACACCGCCGGCGATGTTTTACACATCGCGCCAGGTACTACATTTGAGGCCGAGTCGACCTAGGGGAGAGGCCCCCAGGACCTGTGTTGGTGGCCGTGAGCGGGAATCGAACCCGGGTGGCCGGGCTCGGAGCGCGTGCTAACGTCCGCACAGCCGCTCTCGACGCATGCGGTACCGCACACTCAACTCGCACGCGACAAAACAACCTCATATTGCCGTCATCATCACCATCCACTCCGCTCGTTCATCCAGGACAGCCTCACTGAGTCTCAAAACAATAATTTGCAAGCGATGGATTCTTTAGCGGTGGGAAACGTTTGGGCCAATACTCCTTCCACCAACTTGCAGTGGTGAAATGTTAACTCCCTCGCCCGGTATGCAGGAGGCAGTGGGTTCCATTCCGACCCTGACGCCTGCTGCTGTATATTTGTGATTGCATGTCTCTCTCTCTCTCTCCATGTGGTCACGTGGATTCATCTCCATGTCCCCCGGTTTTTCCCTCCACATTTAGAATGAATGTCACGTGTTTAGAGTATTTGGCTGCTACTATAAATTTCCCCGTGATGATGACAAGTCGCTTCATTGAGCTATAATTTGTGATTGCCGGGTCCCTTCTGAAAAGAGCTATACATCTCAGTGGGCCTTACCTAGTAAAGTAAAACATTATTTAGTTTAAGGGGTGGCCGGAACCAGAGGGGCGGGGGCGTCGCCCGCAGGCGCGGCCGAGAAGCCGGCTCCTACCTGCGACTCCGGCGCTCGCCGATCTCGCTGCGGTGCGACGACGACACGGAAAGATCCCCGCCGCCGCCACTCGCCGGCGCCACCGCCGCTCCTCCGTCATCGTCGTCCTCGTCCTCCTGCGAGGGCGAGTCCTCGCTGAAGAAGTCGTCCGGCAGCATCTGGCGGAGGCTGCGGGGGACATCCTGCCCCAGGTTGGAGTAGAGGGCTCCCAGCACCCTAGGGACGCGGCTCGCGAACCTGCGGGGACGGGTCGGCAGTCGGCGACGACTTCTCTCACGGCGAGGACAAACTGAAACTTGTTTTGTTTTAACCAGGTAAGGCCCACATTGAGCCACAGGAGTGGTTCTTAGACCCCTCCTCAAAATGCACGATTCATGGTCTATCCGCTGCTGGATGAAGGCCTCTCTATACCATCGACTAAAATATTTCTATTTTATTTTACCAGGTGTGGCCCACCGAGCTCTACGGCTATTTTTCACAAGCGACCTGGCCATCACGAATGTCAGCTCAACAAAAGTGGCTCAGCATCAAGTAGAAATTCATTGCAGCCAATCGGACGGGAAGGCGACAGTTCACGAAACTGAGGGTCGGCGATTTCCCACTGCTCAGACGAGCAGCGAGGCAGTGGTGCTCACCTCCTGTTCACAGCCCCGCAGAGGCAGTGGTGGAATCCATAGGACAACACCCATCGACTTTCCCACAAAGTGGTACCTCTTTTATCGACCAGAGAGATGATGGGCTAAGTCTCAATCCCCCGACCAGGATTTGAACCCGTGGACCTTCCCCATTGCGAGCTCTACCGCTGAGCCACTGGGCTACGTGAGCGGCGGTGGCTAGGAGATGTTCACAACCTCGCCTGGTATACAGAAGCTCGTGGGTTCGATCCTGACCCTGACGCCTGCTGCTGTATATTTGGAGTTTGTGTGTCTCTCTCTCCCTGTGGTCACGTGGATTTTTCTCCAGGTCCACCACGCGTTTGGAGTATTTGGCTGCTACTATCAATTTCCACATGACAAGCCACTTTCATATTATAGTGCGTATGTTCGTCATTGTGGATGTTCCTAAGTGTGGATGTTCCTAAGTGCGTATGTTCGTCAGTGTGTATGTTCGTGAGTGTGGTTGTACGCGAGTGTGGATGTTCGTTCGTATCTTGTGGACTGCCTGTACACAGCTAATACGGATTTAATTGATGAGCCTCCCTTCCTCACACGGTTGTCTCATACTTCACTGATATTGACCACGTCAAGAAATTGAACCGGTACTGGGCTATGTGCATGCATTCACCATATAGTCTTAAACAGGGTGTCGGGGTTAAGCGCTGTTAGCCAGCACCTATGAAGGCCGGCACGACACACGAGGGGGAGGGGCGGGGTCGCCAACCCCAAGCCCAGCCGCCTTTGTCTTCCCAGTGCCGATGATTTACATTAATTTGATGCTATAAATGTCCAAACGATTGTCCACTTAGTTGAGCTATCATTTGTGGCCAGGTCGCTTCTGAAAAACAAGTTAATACCTCACTGGGCTTTGCCTGGTAGGATGAGGATGGTTTAGTTTCATTTGGATGTGTTTGGGTGAAACGTATGCCTTTCCAGTGCTTTGCACGACTATCGTGTTGTTTGTTGTTGTAACAATCTGACTCCGTGCCCCTAACTGGACTCCTGTGAAAAAAAGAGCTTTCTCGCTCATCGGATTCCTCCTCCTGCTGCGGTATAAACCACGATTCCGATTCCGATCCACGACAAGCGTCGCCGCCTCGTCCGGAGACGATTCACCGGCGACCGCAGCCGGGGGGGGTGGGAGCGAACCCTCACCGATCCAGGACCTCCTCGCTCAGGAACTTGTTGAGGAAGCCAGGGTCCGTCGTGAGCGAGATCGTCCTCAGCAAGTCGGTCACCTGCACGCGGCCGCACAACGCTCGTTAGGAGAGACTTGGAAGGCGGGGGGCGGACTTCGCACGGACCGCACCGTTTCACCCCCTCTATCCCGTCGCGACGACGTCCAGCAAGTTGCAGGATGGTGGCGTGGGGTGGGCGTCCCCCCGTTCACCGCCGAATCTCGGAACGCGCCAGCGGCTCGGCATCAATTTTCATTTCAAGGGACGCATGCAGAGCGCCGTTACTCACCGCAGAGAACCGTCGCGACACGGCCGCCGTCACTCCACAATAGCTGGCGCCAAAACTGTGCCACGCGTGCCCCCTCCTGAGTGGCCTTGCGAAAGCCTCGGTACCGATAAAGTTATTTTAGTTTTTCTTACGATTCTGTAAGACTCCTTGAAGGTGGCAGGGAATTGTAAGAAAAACTGATGACTCACGCGTACGTCGTCGGAACGTGAGAGTGTTAACTTAGAAATCACGATCAACGGCATCAATGCGGTAATCATTGTTCTCCAAAGCAACGACACCACAAGTGAAGCCTTAGCTGGAGCCCATCCCTCGTGTACACAGGAGAGCCTCACGGAGGCCCGTGGGTCTTCTCAGGGGGAACCTCTCAAGTCTTCTCAGGAGGGGAGCGACAATTGCTGTGTAGGTTACAATCATCCACAAGAGTCTTTGTTTTGGGTTAGATCGCGTAAATATATAAATGTGTCGTTAAACCCGCCACCACCCAACACAGCCAACTAGTAAGGGTTGTCACGTGAACAGAACGTGCCAATTCGTCACTAGTACAGCACGCCGGTGTGTTGTGGAGCCAAGCCACAACATTTACGACGATTCGCCAGTAATTACAACTATCTTCATCAGGCGATAGCCAGATTTGTGGAGAAGTCCAACTGTTTCGTTCCCAAAAAAGAAAGCTCTTATGGATGAAATTGGTCGCGAAAGCCTACGTGTTAAAGGATTCAATCAGAGTAATTTGAGGTGTAGGTTTTCACATGTTGGAGCCTTACACGGCTACCCGGAGGCTTATACGACAACATGGAGGCTTATACTACAACACGGAGACTTACGCTACTACACAGAGACTTACTCTACAACACACAGACTTACACTACAACACAGAGACTTACACTACAACACAGAGACTTACACTACAACACAGAGACTTGCGCTACAACACAGAGACTTGCGCTACAACACAGAGACTTGCGCTACAACACAGAGACTTACACTACAACACAGAGACTTACACTACAACACAGAGACTTACACTACAACACAGAGACTTACACTACAACACAGAGACTTACTCTACAACACAGAGACTTACTCTACAACACAGAGACTTACACTACAACACAGAGACTTACTCTACAACACAGACTTACACTACAACACAGAGACTTACACTACAACACAGAGACTTACACTACAACACAGAGACTTACACTACAACACAGAGACTTACACTACAACACAGAGACTTACTCTACAACACAGAGACTTACTCTACAACACAGAGACTTACACTACAACACAGAGACTTACACTACAACACAGAGACTTACACTACAACACAGAGACTTACACTACAACACAGAGACTTACTCTACAACACAGAGACTTACTCTACAACACAGAGACTTACACTACAACACAGAGACTTACACTACAACACAGAGACTTACACTACAACACAGAGACTTACACTACAACACAGAGACTTACACTACAACACAGAGACTTACACTACAACACAGAGACATACACTACAACACTGAGACTTACGCTACAACACTGAGACTTACGCTACAACACTGAGACTTACGCTACAACACAGAGACTTACTCTACAACACTGAGACTTACTCTACAACACTGAGACATACACTACAACACAGAGACATACACTACAACACTGAGACTTACTCTACAACACTGAGACTTACGCTACTACACAGAGACTTACTCTACAACACTGAGACTTACTCTACAACACTGAGACATACACTACAACACAGAGACATACACTACAACACAGAGACATACACTACAACACTGAGACTTACGCTACAACACTGAGACTTACGCTACAACACTGAGACTTACGCTACAACACAGAGACTTACTCTACAACACTGAGACTTACGCTACAACACAGAGACTTACTCTACAACACTGAGACTTACTCTACAACACTGAGACTTACTCTACAACACAGAGACTTACTCTACAACACAGAGACTTACACTACAACACAGAGACTTACTCTACAACACTGAGACTTACTCTACAACACAGAGACTTACGCTACAACACAGAGACTTACTCTACAACACTGAGACTTACTCTACAACACTGAGACTTACTCTACAACACAGAGACTTACTCTACAACACTGAGACTTACGCTACAACACAGAGACTTACTCTACAACACAGAGACTTACTCTACAACACTGAGACTTACTCTACAACACTGAGACTTACGCTTACAACACAGAGACTTACTCTACAACACAGAGACTTACTCTACAACACTGAGAACTTACTCTACAACACTGAGACTTACTCTACAAACACAGAGACTTACTCTACAACACTGAGACTTACTCTACAACACAGAGACTTACGCTACAACACAGAGACTTACTCTACAACACAGAGACTTACTCTACAACACTGATACTTACTCTACAACACTGAGACTTACGCTACAACACAGAGACTTACTCTACAACACAGAGACTTACTCTACAACACTGAGACTTACTCTACAACACGAGACTTACTCTACAACACAGAGACTTACTCTAAAAACACTGAGACTTACTCTACAACACAGAGACTTACTCTACAACACAGAGACTTACTCTACAACACAGAGACTTACTCTACAACACAGAGACTTACGCTACAACACAGAGACTTACTCTACAACACAGAGACTTACTCTACAACACTGAGACTTACGCTACAACACTGAGACTTACTCTACAACACAGAGACTTACGCTACAACACAGAGACTTACTCTACAACACAGAGACTTACTCTACAACACTGAGACTTACACTACAACACAGAGACTTACTCTACAACACTGAGACTTACGCTACAACACAGAGACCTTACTCTACAACACTGAGACTTACTCTACAACACTGAGACTTACTCTACAACACTGAGACTTACTCTACAACACAGAGACTTACTCTACAACACAGAGACTTACGCTACAACACAGAGACTTACTCTACAACACAGAGACTTACGCTACAACACAGAGACTTACGCTACAACACAGAGACTTACTCTACAACACAGAGACTTACGCTACAACACAGAGACTTACTCTACAACACTGAGACTTACGCTACAACACAGAGACTTACTCTACAACACTGAGACTTACTCTACAACACTGAGACTTACTCTACAACACTGAGACTTACTCTACAACACAGAGACTTACTCTACAACACAGAGACTTACGCTACAACACAGAGACTTACTCTACAACACAGAGACTTACACTACAACACTGAGACTTACTCTACAACACAGAGACTTACACTACAACACTGAGACTTACGCTACAACACAGAGACTTACTCTACAACACAGAGACTTACACTACAACACAGAGACTTACTCTACAACACAGAGACTTACTCTACAACACAGAGACTTACTCTACAACACTGAGACTTACTCTACAACACTGAGACTTACTCTACAACACAGAGACTTACGCTACAACACAGAGACTTACGCTACAACACAGAGACTTACGCTACAACACAGAGACTTACGCTACAACACAGAGACTTACGCTACAACACAGAGACTTACTCTACAACACAGAGACTTACTCTACAACACAGAGACTTACTCTACAACACTGAGACTTACTCTACAACACAGAGACTTACTCTACAACACTGAGACTTACGCTACAACACTGAGACTTACGCTACAACACAGAGACTTACTCTACAACACTGAGACTTACTCTACAACACAGAGACTTACTCTACAACACAGAAGACTTACTCTACAACACAGAGACTTACCACTACAACACAGAGACTTACACTCACAACACAGAGACTTACTCTACACCACTGAGACTTACTCTACAACACTGAGACTTACACTACAACACAGAGACTTACTCTACAACACAGAGACTTACACTACAACACAGAGACTTACTCTACAACACGAGACTTACTCTACAACACAGAGACTTACTCTACAACACAGAGACTTACCTACAACACAGAGACTTACTCTACAACACAGAGATTACACTACAACACAGAGACTTACTCTACAACACAGAGACTTACTCTACAACACTGAGACTTACTCTACAACAATGAGACTTACACTACAACACTGAGACTACTCTACAAACTGAGCCTTACACTACAACACTGAGACCTTACTCTACAACACTGAGACTTACACTACAACACTGAGACTTACTCTACAACACTGAGACTACTCTACAACACTGAACTACACTACAACACTGAGACTTACTCTACAACACTGAGACTTACCTACAACACAGAGACTTACACTACAACACAGAGACTTACGCTACAACACAGAGACTTACACTACAACACTGAGACTTACTCTACAACACAGAGACTTACACTACAACACAGAGACTTACTCTACAACCAGAGACTTACACTACAACACAGAGACTACGCTACAACACAGAGACTTACTCTACAACACAGAGACTTACGCTACACACAGAGACGTTACTCTACAACACAGAGGACTTACTCTACAACACAGAGACTTTACAGCTAACAACACAGAGACTTACTCTACAACACAGAGACTTACTACTACAACACCAGAGACTTACACTACAACACAGAGACTTACCGCTACAACACAGAGACTTACACTACAACACAGAGACTTACGCTACAACACAGAGACTTACTCTACAACACAGAAGACCTTACGCTAGCAACACCAGGACTTACAC